TTGACTGAATAGCCACTTGCGGTGAAAAATAGGTCCTATATGTAAAGGATCGGCTCAATGACTTGATCAGGACGAAGGGCCCAGGTACTTTCCAGAAATCAAAATGGCACCAATAGAAGATTGTGGTGAATTTGGGGGTATGCGAGTCTTGAAGGTCAAGGTGGAAGAAGAGGACAATCTGAAATGAAAATAATACTGATCGAATAAAACCCACGTCAAAGTGTGAGAGCAGCACAGCGAACAAATGTGGGTGATGGTGTTACAACTAAAACGAAAAGAACTATAAAACTACCCTTCAAAAAATAAAGTTTTTAGTCTTTTTACACGATTGGCGTACACGTTTGTGTAACCTTCAGTCATCAAATAGGTCCTTTAATGACAATTGTAAACGGTTGGCTCAATGGTTTGCTCAGGATGAAGAATCCAAAGATTTTTCAAAACCGAAATAATACTAAGATTATGGCGACTGTATGAAGGTCCGCCATTACAGCTCTATCACTGCCGAAGTTTACTGCCAGCAACTGAATGGAATGCGCATTCAATTAATCACAATGCGATCGGCATTGATTGATCGACACTGATTGATCTACGAGTTCCAATTCTATTTCATAACAATAATCAGCCACATGTTACCAGTATGATACAGCAAAAAGCTTGGAGTACGAGGCTTTGCTACATTAACCATATTTCCCTTATCACTCGTCAACTGACTACCATCTTTTCAAGCATATTTGTAACTGCTTAAGCTAAAAGACATTCCGTTGCAAAGATGCCGAAACTGCATTCTATTTGGAGAAGATGTAAAGACATAAGTACATCGATGGCAGAAATATATAAATGTTCACGGTCCCTATTTTGACAGATTTAAACACTATTTAATACATTATTTTAGGAATAAAAATTGAAACTTAAATTGGTTAATCCTAACCCTAAAAACTATTTTCCGAAACAAATCAGTAGTGAGTTCAACTTTTGGAAGAATCGGCCACACAGAGTCGTGATCTCAATATAACTGAACAATCGTGATGGAAACTGAAGAAACAAATACTCCAATGAAAATAAAGCAGTCTCCAAGAGCTCTGTGGGTTCAGCCAAGATGAATGGGAAAAAATCCCCAATGTGAAAATCAGGATATTGTTCCATTCAATGGTACATAGAATTAAGCCTAAGTCAGCAATTAAGGCAATTATTCGAGCCTAAGTCAGCAATTAAGGCAATTATTCGAGCCTAAGTCAGCAATTAAGGCAATTATTCGAGCCTAAGTCAGCAATTAAGGCAATTATTCGAGCCTAAGTCAGCAATTAAGGCAATTATTCGAGCCTAACAATAATCACTAACTCCTTACTTTGACATTTTCTGCTTTGTGTTATTATGAAGGTCACTTTTTGCCAAAGAAATTCTTTAATTTAAATAGCAGAAAAATGAAATCAGTTTTGTCTGGCGACCCAGTATTTTGTAAGGTCCTTTATTTTCAGCAACCATATGCTTAAAAAATTGTCTGTTATCCACCCGAGAAACATTAATGGCAATGCACAGATTTTTTTTTCTGACTTTTAGCGATCGTAAAATTTATTGAAAGAAAATACTGTTAGTTACTATCAATTTACAGGTAAAATTAACAAAAGTAATTAATTTAACAAAGTGGCCCAAAACTGAATGAATATATATATATATATATATATATATATATATATATATATGTATGTGTGTGTGTGTGTGTGTGCAAATATGTAGAAAAATAGGAAAGAACAATTTAGTTAAATAATCCGGGGTTCTTTAGTATTTTTGTTTTTATTTTTAAAAAACAGTGCTCCAAACAGAAGTAGAGCTTAAACAAGAGCCAAAAACCTCAATATAATTATTAAAATTAAACTGAACTAAAGTATCAAGCCCTGTTTCATCCTCAAGCGAAAATTTAGGGGGTTTCCTAAATTTTCGCTTGACGATGAAACAGAGCTTGATACTTTAGTTCAGTTTAATCTTAATAATTATAGTGAGATTTTTTGGCCCTGTTTTTTGAAACATGAGAACTCTTATGTAGCGAAGGAATCATATTTAAAAAAAAAAATTAATTAATATATATATATATATATATATATATATATATATATATATATATATGGAGGAAAGATGTATTGCAAAGTGTAAAAGTTTCACCCCCTAACTTCATCAGGTTCACGTTGGTGTGCTACACTTGCACACGAACGGGAGACACTGAGAATTTTAGATTTAGAAAAAAAAAAAATGTATTTTAGTTATATATAATCAAGCCAATTTCATTTAGATTCTTTCTCTTTTTGTTTCTGTCACCTTTGTTATTAAATATTCCACTTTGTGATAACAAAAGATCTGTCAAGAATGGTGAAAAGTTGTAAGGATCTGACCATAAATTTACTGTGGATAAACTAGCGATTAAATATTTCCGTCTTAGTGAATTATTTTCTCTTTTAATTAGTGTAAAAAAATTTATGGCAAAATTATGGCCTGTCTCGTTACGGTGAGCAAATACTAATGTGTTTAATATATATACATACATACATATATATATATATATATATATATATATATATATATATATATATATATATATATATATATAATATTAGTGGTTAATATACACATACATATATATGCATATATCTAAATATATAAATATACACACACACACACACACACACACACACACACACACACACACACATATATATATATATATATATATATATATATATATATATATAAAATAATTCCAAGAGGATAGAATCCAGGTAGAACTCAGTGTCTAGGACAGAGCAAGAATATAATATAAAAGTCTGGAACACTAATATTCCATGTTATAATTTATTGCATTGGAATCGTAATCACGATCCAATTCATCAGACCTACAAATTCAAAAAGAAATCAGAAAAAATAACTCCGGGAATAAAAAAAAATAAAATTTAGTGAGAGTGTATGTATGAGAGTGCATATTGGAGTTGATTCAAATCAATCAAGTACAGAAATTTCACTCTACTCGAATTGCTATTACAGTCGATGGAAAATGAGACAAATAAATACAATGGCGCATCGAAATACAAAACGTTGCTTTCTTGAAGCTAAGCTATGTACGAAACAGGAAGTTTCGTTAAAAACATTGTTGGGCTATTATATATTATCGATTCTTATATATAACAATGAATGCTGGAAAACTTACTCACAGATGAAGAGAAAACTTCAGGCCAAGAAAAGTGGTTCTTTTTAACATTTTATAATCATTTCACCCTTAGCCAGGCGGGAGTGGCCCAAGTACGCAAGGGGTTACACAAAGTGAAAGTAAGTGAAAAGACTGAATATAAGATTATAGTTACCAGGGAAGCAAATAAGAGGAAGGGAGTTTCATTGTCGGGAAGTGCGAGTGATAAGCTGTTGGTGTAGAAAAGGCGGTTACATTTAACTGTTTCGACATTAAAAGTTTCGGACCGAGATGACAACTTAGTAGCACGCGTAAATTCATACAATAGGTTCACCAGTGAAAGTAGCTCATCCGTGCCGTCGTCATGAAAATACTTGTAGAAAAGACAGAGGGAAGTCACATCACACCTGTGAGAAAAATGACTGGAGTCGAAATGCTAAGTCAGAGATGAACATCAGGGTGCACCAGACCATATATGGCAACAATATTCTATGCATGGACAAATGGTAGATTTGTAGACGTGAAGGATGGACTCAGACGAGAAAAACATTCTGACGCGACACAGAGAACCAACTTTCCTTGCAGTAGATGCAGCTATAGATTCAATGTTGTTGTTCCACCTCAGATCAGTGGAAAACTTGAGACCAAGATGGCGGAGAGAGACGCTTTCGTGAAGTTGAGCATCAACCATACTGACAGGAGGCAGAGAGGTTTCTTTACAAAAGGATGCTGAGACTATGATGAACGAAAAGGAAACTTATACTTATCATCAGAAAGACACAATTGAAATTTCGTCGACACATAATGATGTAAGAAAGCTTGGAGAATATGACACTCATAAGATATGCTTTAAGCCACAAAGGCAGATTGTAACAAGCGAGTAATATATAAATATCTTTGCGTAAATGGATATTTAAGGGGACAAACATTGATTAAAGCTACAAAGAATAGGACATTGTGGGAAAAAAATGAATGTCCACGTCCGGAAGGGACACGGTAGATATAAGCCGCAGCTGATTTCAGCGTTGTCACCAGTTGTTTGATAGACATCTATTCATGAATTTATTTCTGCGTTTGAAGAATTAATATCATTTCGTTTTTTCCACAGTGCCCGTTCCTGGTGAAAGATTTGTTTTTTTTTTCGGCCAAAATGGAAGCGAAAGCGATAAACTGTTCGGGTAATTTTTTATTTGTTCGGAAATACAATTTTCTTTTTAGGTTCTGCTGCTTGGAGTTTAAGAGAGAGTGAAAGAGAGAAAGAGGGAGAGAGAGAGGGAGAGAGAGAGGAGGGGAGAGGGAAAGGGAGAGAGAGGGGGGGATGTAATGTGTCAACGTACAGTCATAAAAATGATATGTCAAATATCGTTGAAGTAAACTGAGAGTCACCGAATGAAAAAAAAAATTAAAAAAAGAAAAAAAAAGGAAAGAAAGAAAAAAAAAAAAGGAAAGAAAGAAAGAGTTAGTCATAAATCAAAATCTGATAGTGGAAAAAAAGGTCAACAAAGAAAGAAAGAAAGAAAAAGAAAGGATGACATACATATATATATAGAGAGAGAAAAAGATACACACACACGCGATAAAGGTAAAAAGAAAGAGAGGAACGATAAAGGGAAAACAAAAAAGGTAATCAAAGAAAGAAAGAAAGAAAGAAAGAAAAACAAGAAAACTATAGTCAGTGCTAAAAACGACCGAAAGAAAGAAAGAAAAAATGAAAAAAAAGCATGAAAGAAAACAATTGAAAATATAGCCAGTGTTAAAAAAGAAAGAAAGAAAATAAGACAGACAGACAGACAGACAGAAGAAATAACAGAAAGAATTAATGAAAACAGTGGAAACTATAGGCAGTGCTAAAAACGAGGGAAAGAATAAAAAAAAGTAAAGAAAGAAAGAAAGAAAAAACGACAAAAAGAATGAATCAAAACAATGAAAACTATCGCCAAAACGGGAGAAAGACAAAAAAAAAAGTAAAGAAAGAAAGAAGCAAAGAAAAAAAGCAAAGAAAGAAAGAAGCAAAAAAAAAAAAAAGAAAGAAAGAAGCAAAGAAGTTATGAAAGAAAGAAAGAAAGAAAACAATGGAAATTATAGTCAGTACTAAACACGATAGAGAAAAAAAAGAAAGAAAGAGAGAGGCAAATAAAAAAAATAAAAATAAAAAAGGAAGAATGAAAGAAACCATGATGGAAAACAACGGAAACTATAGCCAGTTCTAAGAATGAGAGAAAGAAAGAAAGAACGAACGAACGAACGAATAAATGAAAGCAATGAAAACTATAGCCATTGTTAAAAACAAGAGAAAGAAAGATTGAACGAAGGAATGAAAGAAAAAATTAAAGAAAACAGTGGAAACTATAGCCAGTGCTACGAACGAGAGAAATAAATAAATAAAGAATGAATAGAAGAATGAAAGAAAGCGATGAAGACTATAGCCAGTGCTAAAAACCGAATGAAAGAAAGGATGAGAGCAAACAATGAAAACGATAATCAGGGCTTAAAATGAGAGAAAGAAAGAAAGAATAATAGAATGAAAGAAAACCATAAGAACAATAGCCAGTACTAAATATGAAAGAAAGAAAGAATGGAAGAAAGAAAAAAAGGAAAAGAAAGAAAGAAAGAAAGAAAGAAAGAAAGGGAAAATGGAAGAAAGAAAGAATGAAAGAATGAGAAAATGAAAGAAAGAAAGAAAGAAAGAAAGAAAAAAAGAAAGGTTGGAAGAAAGAAAGAAAGAATGATAAAAAGGAAGTAAACTACAGAATAAAAGAAATGGTACAAGAAAGAAGAAAAAGAAAAATATCAAGAAAAAGAAAGGAACAAAAAATAAATGAAAAATAAAAAAATAAAAGAACTGTAATTTGCTTTGTTAAAATAGGACTTTTGTCACTGGTGCCAGCAGGTAATGTTCGAACCTAGGTAAAATCGTTAATATTCCAATTGACCAATCATTTGTTGTGTTCTACAAAGCAGTGTTGATTAAATCTCGTGAAGAAGAAGAAGAAGAAGAAGAAGAAAAAAGAAACAGAAAGAGAGTGAAGGAATAAAAGATAAAGAGGAAGCACTAAAAAGAAAAAAAAGAAAACAAAGAAAGAACATATAGAGAGAAAAGGAAGAAGGAGAGAAATAGACGTAAATAGTAATTAACAGAAAAGTAAGAAAATGAAAATACCTGAAAGAGAAAAGGAATTAAATTAACTTGAGAAAATCCAAAGAATCAGCAATATTAATCATACTAACCTGGCATCTCAGATACTACCCTGTGCCATTTCTATAAATACGTTTATGGTAATTGTACGGATGATCTCTTCATTATGATACATAGACTTTATGAATTTAAGTGCAGTAATAGGCTAGTGACGAGGTTTTATCAGTTTACAGTTGAATTGATGTAACCGTATGTTCTTTGGTAACAGTGTCTTTTCTCGCACTTATCGCTTGTGAAATTCTCTTCTGACTCCATGATTACTCTTCCATTGCTGTCGCTTTAATCTTTCTGTTTGTGTCTTAGTGGCTTTACTGCCTTGCTTGGGGTGGACTTGATTAAAAAAAGAAAATAAAACAGAATAGAAAGGAAGAAAATAATATAAATTAAGTAAAAAATAAGTAAAAACAGAAAAGAATATTAATACACCCTTGTGCAATTTAATTGAAACAAAACGAATAATTCCGTTATAATTGACTTTTTTTCGTATTTTTCCAATGAAACATGACCCAGTGCACATGTTATTACATCGTATGTCCATTTCACGAAGCCTTTCCTGGCAGACTGACCAAAGATTCTCGACTGGATTTAAATCGGGAGAGTTTCCGGGCCAGTCGATAATACTTTTATTTGCTCATTGGTAAGGCTTACTAGTGTGTTCGTGCAGAGTTACAATTTTCGTACACTTCCTTGGAGTAACGTCCATTGAAGACAATCGATGTAGGACAACTAATCAACAGTCGAGACAATAGTGTCTGGGCGTGATGAAAATCTGATTTAATCACGGATGACACAATATTTTTCGAGGCCGAACAAATTTCATCATACACTCCGAAAACAGATTCATATTACTGCACACCACTGCAAATGACCTAATCCGAGGAAAAATAGAAATCGATTACACCCTCTCACTCCAGTGGGTCTGAAACTGATTGTAGGTTGTAAGAAAGGAAACTAAAGCGTTTTTGTTTTGTTTTTTTCAATTAATTTGCACCAGGTTGTAAATAAACAAAAATAAATAGAATGTAAGAAAGAAAAAGAAATTAAACATCTATGTCGCCATAACATAAATATCGAGCTTGTGAAAATGGGCTACGGTACAGAGTTTAGAAATAAAGAAATGACAGAATTTATTTAAAGCTGCAACGGACAGGAAAGTGTGGAGAGTCATGATCTCTTACGCCCTGAGAGGACACGGCTTATAAAGAAGTTATGTTGTTAGTCTAATTTCTAGGGCATATAATGAGGAAGGAGGGTTTGGAAAATCTGATACTCACAAGGTAGATCGAAGGTAAGAGAGTCAGAGGTAAAAACGAATAATATATTTAGTGAGCTTGAGAAAATGGATGGCGGAGCAGCGTTTAGGAGAAATAACAAAAATACAAAATTTATTAAAAGCTACATAGGACAGGAAATTGTGGAGAGCCAATGATCACCCTGAGATGACACAGCACACAAAGAAAAATATCAATCATTGCTTGTTATGTTTCTACTCAGTTGGACAGTGAGTACTTGGACTCAGTTTGATATGCCTAGACACTGAAACAAAAACAATCTCTCCCGTCGATTAAATAAAACAGATGATGTAGTCAAATGAATATACAAAGATTTTTATCACCTGTATTAAAATGCTATGAGAGGCATCTGGAGACCACTATGACGGCGTCGCGACATACCCCGTTGCACTGTTACGAGTATACAACGCTGCAGTCTTCTCGGGACTTGTTCTATAAGGAGCCGTGACGTGGCCTCTCTGCGAGACTCTTGTCTCTTGAATCCATGGTTTCGAGTTCCACACCCTCAGGACCATGTCTAACAAGGTTTTACGCCGTAGAATCGGTCAGCCGAGTATCCACCGCATCATCGTTCAGTGCCGTCTTCGCTGACTCGTTCAAATCCTCCGACGATCTGATGACCACCCTACCAGAGTCATCTACTAATTCGACCTGCAATCTTCAGACTGGAACATTAGCAGTATGGCGAGTGTTTGCTTCAAGTTGGAGAGCCGGTCATATTTTGTATTAATGCTTAAATAATATCAGAAAAAGAATGTCTTTAAAAATCTATATGTTGTTGTTATCTTAGACAAATCGTTTAGAAGATTGTGCCTTGCATAATTATTATATAATAATACATATTGCATAATAATACATAATAAACATAATAATAATAATAATAATACATAATAATAATAATACATAATAATAGATATTGCATAATAATAAAGTACGATAGTAAACATCGCAAGCTTAATGTCTGCAATAATCTTTGTAAAGAGAACACTTCGCTGTACAATTTCCTTGACTGACATTGACCAAAAGTATTCGGAATATTACACACAATTTCGGCAAGTTTACAAGTTTCACAGCGGCATCAAACGATTTAATGACAACAAAAGGCTCAACAGGCATTGCATATTCGTTCTCTTTTTTTTCTTTTTTTTAAAAAAAACCCCGACAAACAAACAAACATGATAAAACTTTACTAATATAAACTGTAGAAGGTTCGAACCTCCCTGGTACGGCGCACTTATACACTATGCCCGCTGTATATGATGAGCTTTCCTATTTAGTACTCTGACTTTACGAATGTAAGCGCAGTACTTGATTAGCAGATAGGTCTCATCATTTTGGCTACATGTAAGCATAAATTCTATGTTAACAGCTTCTTCTCTTGCACTTCTCGATTACAAAATTCTCTTCCGGTTTCTTGCTTTTCAGTTAACTTTGATCTTTAATGATTCAAATGCAATGTCAATCGTCATCGTCTATCTCTTGGAATACTGTTCTTTTATTATCTTTTCTTAACTGTATTTTTTCTCGGGGTCTTTCACTCTCAATGTCTCACTCTCTGTGTCTTAAAGCCTTTATAGCCTTGCTTGGGGTGAAATTATTAAAAAATCCATTTAGAAAGAAATTCCATTTATTCTATTTTAATCTTTCAACAAGATCATTTTAACACCACAAATTTTATAGGAGTCATAATTAATTCGCTGTATACAATTTTTGAAGTGATGATAAGTTACGTGCTGTATATATATATATATATATATATATATATATATAACTTATATCTATAACGTAACTTATATATATACGTAACTTAAAAGTAATGTGAAAAGTGTATATAAATATGAATAAATATATATATGTATAATTATTTATATATTATATGCGCGGTACTTATTAGAAAGCGCTCAATATCAGTGATAGAGTTAATATAATTGGTTGGATAGATGTGAGTTTCACATCTATCCAACCATATATATATATATATATATATATAGCGTAACTTATCATCACTTCAAAAAATTGTATACAGCGAATTCATTATTTATATATATATATATATATATATATATATATATATATATATATATATATAGTTTTGGTTGGTTAATGAATAGAACCTCCCACAACCGCAATGTCTTCAGCTTCCAAAAATAAAAAGGCAGAAGAGAAGGAAAGAAAGATAGAGAGAGAGAGAAAAGAGAGAGAGAGAGAGAGGGGGAGAAAGGAAGAGAGAGGGAGAGAGAGAAAGAGAGAGGGGGAGAGAGAGAAGGGGAGAGACGGAGAGAGAGGGAGAGAGAGAAAGGGTGGGAGAGAGAGAAAGAGAGAGGAAGAGAGAGAAATCATACAATATACTCTTTTCACATGCGAAAATCCAGAACAAAATGGCGTCGAGGCAACACCCTGAGGAAAGCAATTTAAATAAATAAATAACTCATGAATTATTTTGCATTCAAAAAATAGAGAACTTCTACTTTAGCAGACTGGCAAAGTAAATAAGGAAGAGACAATGAGAAGTTGAAACCAAGAAAACATAACCAAGCGTTCACAAAATCTTTCTGAACGATTAGACAGACGTGCTGAAGAAATTGGAGAATTTTTAAATGTTATTTTTACATTAAAAAAAAAAACACGACTTTTATTGCAAGACCGTCAGTGGACGCCAGCACTAGAGCAACTATTAGCAAGTACGTTTCACAGACCATTAAATAAAGTACAGAGTTCGAAACTCACTAGTTGAACAAAGATTGGTGTCTTTGTACCACATCAGATTAAGCTTAGCAAATAAAGACGTTTACCCTTGTATAGTGCAACAATATAACCGTTTTTGCGTCATCGCCCACATTCGCATGGAAAAATTTCCCACCGTTCACCTGTTTATTCAAAAGCACAGCAAAATTGTTTCGTAAAAGTTTGTTACTGGTTCATAAGCTGATTTTATGGTAAAAAAATACCAAAGGGAGGTAACAAATAACGCCGACTTAGTCCACAGCTTCTTCTACTGCTACTATCGTATTAAAAAAACATACGAAAGAAAACTTGAACTTTGAAAACTAACTTTTATAGTCAAGATTAGTTTGTATGGTTAGGGTTAGCGTCGAAAGTGTGGACAAGAAAATGAAACAATTTTTGTCCATAATTATAAAATTAAAAACAATATACATTACGAGCAACTAATAAAAATTCCTTGCATTATTTACATTATTCGGACTGTTATCCTTATCTTCATTGACATATTAACAACGTTTCGGCCGTTGTACGATCCGGCCTTCGTCAGGTGATTGGCTCTCTGAGATGAGGTATTACGATTACTTGAATTATTTATATTATTGGTAATATTTATCCTCATCTTCATTGCTATATTCACAATGTTTTGGCCGTTATACGCTCCGGCCTTCTTCAGGTGATTGGAATTTTGAATCGAACTCTTTATTTCTTCCACCGGGGTAGATTGTTCTAGTTCCACATGCCATGTCTCTCCCGGATGTCTCAGTAATTTCTCTTTAACTCAACTATCCAAGTTTTGGTTCACCACTGCTGTGACTTGGTATTGAACTCACAACACTTTTGATCTAGTCACTGGATCTAACCAACGTTTTTATCCACTAGGCCATGTGTCCTTGAGGTAAGGGAAATAACTGAGACATCCATTTGATAAATAGGCAAATATATTTGAGTAATTTTTGTTTCTTTTTATATTCGTAATTTTATTATACACGTACGGCATATTGTTGGAAAATATTTGATTATTATAATAAAGGCTACAACCTCTTATATTATTTAAAATTATAATAATAACCAAAAAGCGTATATGATATGCCTTTTCCGTCTTTACACTCATTCAAAACGAAATAGTCCATTACATTGGCAGGTACGTAATAATAATAATAATAAAAACCCCGTCAATGGTTACGTAGTGCAGGGTTAAAAGCTGAAACTGAATGTTTTATTCTTGCTGCGCAGGACCAATGATTGCTAATTAGAAATTACCAAGCACACATACTAAAATATTGTGTTAGGCCAAAATGCAGATTCTATGATAAATATCCAGTAACAATTGGCCATCTTGTATCAGGTTGGCACTCACTGAATATAAAATCCTTCGTGAGAGAGTGGGCCAATATCTGCACTGGAAAATCTACAACGCTTACGGAAAGGAAACTGCAAGAAATTGGTATGATCACCACCCAGAACTGTTTACGGAGATAGGACTTTTAATAATTTTATGGGACTGCACAGTACACACAGACAGAACAAACAAACCTAATCGCCCAGACATCATGATTAGAGACCGCAAATTCTAAAAGTGTCTCCTTATTGATATGGCAATTCCTGCAGACTACAATGACTCTTTGAAGAGTTTCAAAAAGCTATCAAAATACAAAAACCTTAAAATCGAAATCTCAAAAATGTGGTACATGAAGACATCAATAATTTCAGTTTTAGTTGGAGCCCTCGGATTGGTTGTAAAAGATTTCACTAGACTCAGTGAAGGGATTCCTGGTAGTCAATGGCTTTAATAAATATAAAAATTGTTCTCACGATTACAACCCACACCTTACGATGGGTTCTAACTATGTAAAATACGTGTGATTTTTTTTTTAATTGCTCAGCGGAAAATGACATGCTGCCATTTCTGATCTTAGGTCTCTGGTCGGGACCCGGAAAAAAATGAGTACACACCAGAAATGAAAGGAAATAAAATAAGAATAATATTAATGAAATAATAAATGAAGCCAACAAATTCTAAAGGGATTTTCAAGTGGATGAAGAAATGTAAATATACCACAATACACCCACTGCAGTGGTTTAATTATTGCAGCTCAGTATCAAAGACAAATACATGTGTGAGTAATTTTTCTTTCTTTTTATATTTGTAATTTTGCTATATACGTACAGCATAATGTTGGAAAATGTTTGTTTATTATAACAAAGGCTTCAACCTCTTATATTATTTAAAATTGTAATAATGATAGGGAATTTTACCTGAGACATGAAAACTATTTCAAGGAGTTTAGAAAGATTAAAATGTTGATATATATATATATATATATATATATATATATATATATATATATATATATAGTACAGGTAATAAATTAGTTGGTATATAATCCTAGTAGATCTTAGTAATAACAAATTTTAAAACTGATCCACAAAAATAGCTCAATGTTTTTATTACAACTCAAGCATATAACTTGCACAACAAAATCCAAAATTACCTCATATGGGTGGTGGGTATAGACCCATTTCAATTTACGAGAATTACCCTAGTTTTATTCAACCCAAGTATATAGACTGTGTTCGTGTCGGGATTAGATATTTAATTTTGAGAGCAGTCAATTGAATTTAAAATTTAACTTTGACAGCTGTCAAAGTTAAATTTTATATGTTTTAATTCCAATCCGTACACAGTCTATACACCTGGGTTGAATAAGACTAGCGTACTTTTGTAAACTGAAATAGATCTATAGCCTGATAAATAATCTAATGCATTTTTGGCTAACTTTTGTTTCTTTTTATATTCGTAATTTTGCTATACACATACAGCATATTGCTGGGAAATGTTTGATTACTATAATAAAGGCTTCAACATCTTATATTATTTAAAATTATAATAATAATCATAGGGAATGTATTTAGCGATGTTTATATGGCGTCAGTGTGAAACTGCCTTCACTGGTTAGTGGACAGTAACTGTATGAGACATATTCATGTATCACTGACTGACTCACTCGTGTACAGGACACATGCAAGGTGTCCATATGTTATTTTTACTACGATAAATATATAAAACATAGATATTAATAATGGTATATAATAATTTTCATGCTGGGCAAGGACGGATTTAGATATAGGGAAGCTCTTGACACCCCACTTCCAAATCCCCATTCTCGTGAGTAAAGGAAAATGGAACCTGAGAGTTCCGTATGAGGTCGGTAGGGGAAAAACTGATAAATAATCTAATCCATTTTTGAGTAATTTTTATTCCATTTTATATTCATAATTTTACTATACACGTACAGCATATTGTTGGAAAATCTTTGATTATTATAATAAAGTCTTCAACCTCGTCTATTATATAAAATTATAATAATGATAGGAAATTTATCTGAGACATGAAAACTATTTCAAGGGATTTAGAAGGATTAAAATGTTGAGACACGCTGCGTTATATTATATATATATATATATATATATATATATATATATATATAGTACAGGTAATAAATCCATTGGTATATAATCCTAGTGGATCTTAGTAATATCAAATATTAAAACTGATCCACAAAAAGAGCTCAATGTTTTTATTACAACTCAAACATATAAATTACACAACAAAATCCCAAATTACCTCATATGGGTGGTGGGTATAGACCCATTTCAATTTACGAGAATTACCTTAGTTTTATTCAACCCAGGTGTATAGATTGTGTTTGTGTCGGGATTAGATATTTAATACTGAGAGCAGTCAAATAGAAATTTAAAATTTAACTTTGACAGTTGTCAAAGTTAAATTTTATTTTTCTAATTCCAGTCTGACACAGTATATACACCTGGGTTGAATAAGATTAGCGTACTTCTCGTAAATTGAAATAGATCCATAGCCTTATATATATATATATATATATATATATATATATATATATATAAAATATTAAAATACTATTAATACTCGGTTGGAAAAAAACCTCGGATAGCACAACTTGTAAGTCTATCAAAACAAATTAGTACCCGAGGAAAATAATTGTGAAAAAAAAAAAAGAAAGAAAGAAAGAAAGAACTAGAAACATCCAAACAGGGCGAAATAAAGTGGCCAGTGTCTTAAGTTTCTTGTCCAAAGAAAACAAAACAAGTGAGTAACAAATTTAAATCGTAGAGTACTCAATACGCCAAGTAGAGCAGGAATAAATCCTAAAGAGCCAGGGAAAACCTACCTAGGGTTCACCTAAACGGATCTTCATGGTAAGCTGGCTCCGTTTACGTGTAACCTAGGTAGGTTGTTCCTGGCTCTTTTGGATTTATATATATATATATATATATATATATATATATATATATATATATATATTGATGTGGGGCCAAAGTTGGGACCACATAAGTAAAACATGGAACACGGATTAGATGTAAGAAAGATATATTAACAACAGGTTACAGAGATAGTGTAAGCGGAGCTTACTATATGTTAGTGTCCAACACTGGTAGTCGTACTAGACTCTCACTGTCTCTCTCTGTCACTCCCTAGAGTGCTATGTCGCCTACTTAATATAGGCCTGGAAGAGTCTATTGTGTAGGTAGTTTCCGGTCTCACAATACCCCTCTTCCAAAGAGTTTTCTTTTTGAAA